ATTTGAATACAGTTCAATTAACTGATTCAAATCAAGGAATTAATTCGATCATTCAAAGTCAATTCAACATACAGCGTATAGTGTGTAAACAAGGTGCACACATACGTTTTCCGTTAACAAAACTTCAAAAACTTTAGATGGCTCTTCACACCACAGAAACTTCAAAACAAAATACGAAAAAAGAAAAAAATACTTTCTTGAAATGTTCTTTCTTTTTTTTTATCTCCTTGTTTTATTGCTTTTGAGTGATAATTTAGAGTCCCTATAGTTGCCTTTAATAGCAAGATTGCGTCTAGCTTATCTTTTACTTTCAAGTTTATTGATCTTTTAGATCTTTCTACCAACCTGAAAAAGATTTCTTAATAGATTTCCTTTCTCTGATTTTCTATAGATGAACTGAGAATATTGCGAACAAAATGGGACAAACCTATTTTTATTGCTCTCACGTGACTTATAAAATCTTTCATGAAATGTTTTTGTTTTTTAGTCATCTAGTCAGAACTTAAGTAAAACCGGTGAGTGAGGAATAGATATAACCGTTAGAGACTTTTGAGTAAAATTATCCATTAACACCTAATTAACACGGTGAATCTGCTTTTAGCATTGTGATTGCTTTTTTTTTTTTAGTTTTTTGTTTAGTACATTTATTAAACAATATAGTAAATAAGTGCGTTTATATATATATTATAGTGAGTTTCAGCTCTTTAATAAAATAATATAGAAAAGAAGCCAGTCTGCAGGCGTCATTTGATGTTAACAGTTGAAGACTTTTGAGTGAAATCATCCATTAATACGGTAAATTTTCCATCTATTTTATTATTTACAATTTAATATTCATATTAATTTAAATGTTATTTGCTTATTTGATTATTAGAAAGTTCTGAAATGTTGTAGCACTCTAATTAATGTCTTTTAGTTTTCTATTTAGTACTTTACTAAAACAATATAGTAGGGAAGTGATTATATATTCGATGTTAAAAGTTGGAAACTTTTGAGTGAAATCATCAACTAAAACGGTAAATTTAATTTATGTTTTAATATTTATGATTTATAATCCAATGAAACGTAAAAGAATTCATTAGCTTATTTTTATATAGTAGAAAATTCTGGAATTTTTTAGCAGTGTAATTAATTTTCAGTGTTCTAAATAACATTTTTATAAAACAATATGAGAAAAACGCTCTCCCATAAATAACAGTGTGGTAATGCTAAAATGTTTTTGAGAAAAGGATTAAATTCTATTTCGGAAATTTTCACAAAACCAAGCATGCTTTGTCTTCTGCAATGACCATTCTTACTAAGTACTTTTAGAATTCCTGTTAAGAATAACATAAAAGAAATCTACTAATTTAATATAGGAGCTCAAATAAAGATGTAAACTAGGATAATATAATAACACCTTGGCCAAAGAATAACACAATCGAAAGTCTATGAATCACTACTAAGGACATAAGACTGAAAACCTCTCAGTCTGTTTGAATGCAGGTGGAAATAAGGAGGAGCAGAATTGTATTTATTAAAACACATTCAAAAATCTTTTCTCACTAAACTGTTTTTGTTTTTAGTACCATTTCCTTAAATAAAGATTCGTTACACGGAGAAAAAATTTCTGGTAAAATTACCGTACTGTATGGTATTACCATTTCTGTCTTCCTTTTTTTTTAAAGAGTAGTTCTGGTTAATAAAACCATATTTGCAGTGCTTAAACCATTTACTTGGTAATTTTTCCTTTTATATTGTAACGGTTTATCAGAAATTCTGGTTTTTAAAATTATAGTTATTACCACTCATTTAGTAAAAAATACAAAACTGAAAAGTAAATTTAACCAAATAAATGGTTTTTATGCCAAGCACTGAGATATCAAGATAAAAATACCAAATTTTATCACATATTATAAAAATTTTATTGTTAGTTTTACCAAAATCATTACCAATGATCTACGGTAAAAATTACCGAGACCTTTGGTGTTCACATAGAGCCAGAAACATGGCAAATTTTACCATATTCTAGTAGCTTTGATCATACTTTTTCCTCACTGTAAATTTTAATAGCGTTTATTTTTTTCATTTGCTTCAATACTTATTTATGATCTCTAATGTGCTTACTGATTTTGCTTCATTTAAAGCAAATTTTTTTAAAAAATTCTGGAATTAAGTTTTTTTATGAGTTATAATTCATTGAACAGTAAATTAATTTTTTTGATAACTTGAATAATAGAATGTCATGTTTTAATGTTATAATTTCTTCGAAAGAAGTTTAATGCATAATTTTAAGAAGAAGAAAAAAAGAAGTTATACTTAAATATTTGTAACTAGTCAGATTTGCTTTCTTTTAAAAGTTTAAATAATATTCCACTTAAAATAATGGTCCATTTAACTGTATATAACTTACTCTGTATGATTTCGAACAAAAAACTCTCGAAAAATTTCAGTTTTTGAAATATTAATCTTACAAATGCGTGTATTAACGCGCATGAAATGTTCTCAAAAAATATACTCTGAGTTAAATAGATTTCGCTTTATTATAGAATCATTACAATATCTAATTTTGTACAGGCTTACACAAATTTAAACTATTATTTTTATAAGTTTCAAACTTAATAGCAGCTTAATAATCCAGCAGAATGAGAAAGAATTACGTTAATTTTCCAAATCTAACTAAACAATTTAACTAAATCTAAACATTTAACATTTTATGTCTTAAACATTTTGAGTTTTTCAATACCGTAAAAATTTATAACTAAATTAGTTTAATCAAACAACGACGTTTTGCACTGGTACCAGCAAAGCACTAAAATGTATATTATATAATAATAGCATAATGAAGATGACAAATTCGTTTCATAATTCGTAATAATTCGTAAATAAGCTTCGTTAATAATATAAACTTACACATTTATATAAACTTATTTCAAATTCGTAAACAAATTTATAAATGTATTTCATAAAGCATTTGTGAAATCCTAAGGTATTAAAATTTAATAACATTTTATTATGTTATTTTTTTTAAAAACAAAATGCTTTTTCAGATTCTTACATAATATAAGAGACCAAAAGCCAATGGGAATGATTGTTAAACAATTTATTATCTCTTTCTAAATTAAAATAAGTTTAAATTAACAAGTTTCCTATTGATTTCATTATTATTATTTTCCTTGATGGGACAGATTATAAGTTATGCAATTTTAAGATCTTTATTAGGCGAAATGCGATCAAAATCGATTCATTTGTTACATAATCCTCAGAGTGTGAGCAAATGACTCCATTTGTTCTTATCATATTTCTTGTCATTGGAATTGTATCGTCTCTTGTATAAATGTAAATGTCGCTGAAATGTCTCTTGTATATGCAATTGGATATGTATCGTCATAATTGATCATACTTTTTCATGGGTTTTCTGATTTTTTTTACTGTATACTTAGATTCTATGTGAGAAAATTTGCCTTTAAATTTATATGTCTAAAAGTGAGTTAGAACTTGCTCTTTAAACTAAACTCTTACCCTACTCTTGATAACTATATTTCTTGTCATTTCAACTTTTTTTAATGGAATTCTTTTTTTTCTTTATTAAGTATACTCATTCCCGTATTTCCTGAATTTTTCAGCAAACTCAGTTTTTATTTGAGAAAATATGCATTTAAGGATGATTTATTTTTGTAACATAGGAAGCTGAATCTTATTTTGAGGACTAATATTGCCATGCCCTATGCTATTAATGCCCTGCTCTTACATATTTTTTGTCATTAGAGTTTTATTACCCTTTTTTTTTTATTTCTTCTTTATGAACTCGTAGAATTACATCATTATGTACACTTTTTAGCATGTTTCATGATTTTTTACTGTAAACTCAGATTATGGTTGAGAAAAAATGCATTTAGGTTTGATATATTTATTACAAAGTGAATTAAAACTTTACCCGTAGATCAATAATTTACTATGCTCTTATATACTTCTTGTGATTGGAATTTCATCATCAAATGTCTTTCTTATGGAATTATAGAACTTCTTTATTGAAAATACCTTTCCTCATGTTTTCCTCATTTTTACTACATACTCAGAATATATTTGAGATAAATAGAAAATATTCCGTTAGACTTAATTTATTTGTTACAAAGGGAACTGAAATTTGTTCATATGACCAATATTTTACACTCCTCATACGAATTATATTAACTGTTGATAGATTTTTATCACTACATGGCTTTTATAATTTATATGTAATTTTTTAATGAGTATAATTTTTCACGTCCAGATAAGTTTTTACAGTTACCCCTAATTTTTCATATCATATTATGATTTTATTTTTGAATTTCTATGATATTATGATTTCTAATCATGCTTTTATAATATGATTTTATACTATAATTTTATATTTTCCAATTATAATTTTAAATTTCCCCAGTGAATACGCTTCCTGAATTTTTACAATAATGTAATATCACTGGCTTTCCTTACTTCACTGAAATATCAAATTTCTTTAGTAAAGAGCTTTTAAGGGTTTTAGATTAAAAAAAATATTTAAAAAATGAAGAGAGTCGCTCTTTAAAGGAATAAAATAGTTTTAATTAATTTGATTGTAAATAAACCAAAACTAACTTGCACTTATTTAAACTCATAAATGGTCTTTTCCTTTAATTTGTTTTTTATTATTAATTATTTTCTTTATTGTTGTGCCATGCATAATATAGCATTCTATTCTTCAAAAGTATTTATTTTTAAGCTAATGTTATATAAACAAAACAGAAATGATTGGGAAAAATAATATAAAAATAAAATCCCAACCACTTAAAAATAAAGTATTCATATCTTTTTTAAAATCCTTTCTCTTGTTTAGTTAACTCGGAATCACATGCAAAAAGTATGGATTTGTTAATTCCGTTCTTTTTGAAAACTAGATCATTAGATTTGAGGCAACAGATGGCGCTAATTTTTTTCGTCCCTTCTTTCTGAATACGCCACGGGAAAAACTTTGAAATAAATTGTGAAGAAGGCGTTACTAATACTTCGGAAACGCAACCAATCACAATCAAGATTTCATGTTTTCTTCCCCTTCGGGTAGAGCAAAACATGGGGAGTTACAACTTCTCATAAAGTCAGTCTTGTTCTTCAGTCTAAGAAGTGATACTTTATTCAGTTTGAGATTTACTTTTTCTTTTATGACTTTACAGCCGACTTTTTTTTCTTTTCCATTATAAGGTCAATCGGCTATGTATATTATTTTACGTTTCTCTTGGCCTATTTATAACACTAGAAGAAATACAGTCAGATTTTTTAATTTTTAAACAATTATTAAAACTGAAATAGTATTCAAGTATTGTTGTTTGAAAGAAATGTGGGAAATTTGAAAAAAAGTTATTAAAAGTGCCGATACTAAATTTTGACCATGGCTTTGGCAGATTTCCATAAAGTTTCTTCAATTGCTATTCCAAAACCAACACGACCTAAAATAGGTTTCTCTATTGAAGAACTAGTTGGTAAAAGTGATAAATCACCGTCTCCTATTACCCATCAGAGGACACCTGAAAATTTAATAATTAAAAAAGACTCCTACGATTCTAATATCCATCATGCAAATTTAGAAAAATCTCATGTTTTGATGCCAAGAGTCCCAGAACTATACTCTCAAGCATATCCAATTTACCATTCTCCTGAACCTGAAGTTGATTTTTTTGGTTTTGGTAGACCAAAATACTCTTTACTGAATGGTTGTGAGCCTGTTCGACCAACGTTACCGTTAGCAGTGACAAGAGATTCGCAGATGATGTTCCCATGGCTCTTGAATAGGGATCTAAGAGTCTTACCTCATAAATGGCAAGGTAAATTGAATTTTCATTTTCTTCATTCAAATGATTCAATAATTTGGATATAAAATCAAGGCTTAAATTTATAAGACATGGTTTACATTTATTAAAGTTAACAGACTATTTGGATAAAGTCATACTATTGTTTGAAAATGGCAATTGATAAAGTCATATGACATAAGTAATTTTCTGTTTCTTCAACGGATTTTACTTTTGATAAAAATAAATTTTTTAATTGGTTCCAGATTTCTATTTAATTATTTCCTAATATATAATGGTTTTTGTTAAAATTTCTGTTTAATTATTTATTTTCAAAAATGCTATTAAAGTTAACACACCTTTTTGCAAAATTGTAAGGTAAAATAGACTGTAAATTTAAAACTAAATCAATGGAATAATACTTTAAATTCGATACAATAATTATTGCAAATAATTTTTTAATAAAACGTATTTAACCACCCTATGGTCTATAACTTATTAAAACCCAAAAATTTTATTTATTTACTTTTCACTGTTATTTTCAGCATTTTTAATAAGTTTTTTCAAATAACCGTCGGTACAAAATAGGTTTATGATATTCAATAATTATTCTCTTTCTTATTTTAAACGCAGTAAAAATATCGCGAATAAACAATTTTAACATATTCCAATTTTTCTTTTCTTTTCAATTTAAACTTATGCATAAAAATTTGATACACAAACAAATTAATAATATTCAAAATTTATTATTTCTCTTAATAACTATAGATTATCGTGTTCTATTAAAATGCATAACTGATTCGTGGTTCTGTAAATATTATATTATACAATATCATTTTTACCTTTTCTTATAACAATATAGCCAAAGTTATAAAAATCAATTAAAGAATATCAAAAAGAAGTAATTAAAAGAAATATTACTTATGTACAATTATAAATATTTAACCCTGTTTCCTATTAATATTATAATGAAATCCTTATTCAAATAATTACAGAAACACCAATCATAGTGATACACCAGTATTAGAAATTTAAATTTTTAAATGTTATTAACATTTATTTTTATGCACTGTTTGTCGAGGAAGGAATTGACAAATATGCTAAAAATTATTGTATACAAACCACAAACATAATAACTTTTATTACATTCGCAATGCTTCAAAAATAATTAAATGTATATAGTCTAGAGTACTAAAGGAAGGTCCATGCAATATTATTTCTCAAGTAGTGGTAAGTCTTTAAGTCTTATGGCGTAATTTTATAAAATTCAAAAGCCACGATTTGTTCTTATTTTAGATTGCTATCATTGAAGAACATAATATCTGAAGTTGAGGTAGTGATGGTTCATATCGTACTTTTTTGGAACCTAACTAAGACTAAGAAGCTCTAAAATAAAATATTAGGACAGTCTCTTGCTTAAAAATATTTTTTAAAGAAAACTAACTAATTCGCCATGTGTGGAGAGGAAATCCTAGAAAACCATCTTCCTTCAGTTTGATGGCAATAGGACTATAACCCATGACCCGCCCAGCAATAGCTATGTTTATGTCGTAATATTAGTCAGAGCTCATTGTGAGCTGCATACAACCACATGTGACCAGTATTTGTGTCTGGGTCAGAGGTAAAAGGATAAACTGTATTTCTTTATTCATCTAGGAACATGATGAATGGATGGAGTTTCCTCAAATAATGGATGTTTGCTAATATTTTATTAATGCCATTTTTAAAGAGAAAAACACATTTTTGAAATTAAAAAGCACTGAAAGTGCGTATATGAATGGTAAAAGTAGAGCTATAAATTATAATAATTAAACTAAATTTTTTAAAATGATTTAATCTTAACAAGAGTAAGCAATATGGAAGAGGAGAATCGTGCTATTTTTGTTCTATTTTTATTCTATTCCCACTACTCTATAGTGGAAAGGAAAAAAAAAACATAACTATATTTAAGCTATAACTATGACTAGGTTACAATATAAAAGTGAAAAAAAATGGGACGGTGGTATTATATTAGATTTTATAAATCTAAATATGTGTGTGTTCCATTCAAATCCAGTTTAGGGATAAATTGAATTTACCTTAATTTCCATTTACTATTCAAAGTTATAGAGATAAATCAATTTCAAAGTTAGAAAGTTCTTGTCACTCTTTTTAACAGTAATTCTGGAGTCTTATGTTTGAGATATTTTATTGGTTTACTAGAATTTTTTTAGATGTTACAGTGAAAATTTTAAAAACAAATTTGTTTAAAAAATCTGACATTTTTAAGAAAGTGTGCATTACAGAAATTTTACCTCTCAGTTGAAGTGTTTTGACATGAAATAAACGTAAGCTGTTTTACGAGGTAATTTAGTTGTAACTGTTTTATTTAGATTTTTAGAATGTGTTTGCTAAATTTATAAATTATAATTGACAACTGATTCTTACAATTTCCATTTTAATTCTAATACAAAAATTTTTGATTTTAATACTAAAGTGTTTTTTTTTTCTTTTCTTATGTATCCATGTGTTCACATTCATAGATATCTTTTTCTAAAGTAAAATGCAGTATTTTTGAAATATTACTAATAGATATTACTAATAGTAAGTATTACTAATAACCTTTCTACTTTTCATTTTTATTTGCTATTTTTTTTTCTTTTTTTTTTTTTTTTTTTNTTTTTTTTTTTTTTTTTTTTTTTTTTTTTTTTTTTTTTTTTTTTTTTTTTTTTTTTTTGCTGCTTCTCCCTTCCTACATACTCAAAGTGAGTTAATAAAATTTTTTGTAAGTAAATAATTCTTTGATTAAATAAACAGAAATTTCGTCTTAAACAGCATTTTTAACATCATCTGCGTTTTGCTGTTGCGTATCTGTTTTCCTATTTTAGTTTCAAATAGTTAAAATAAATATAAATGCAGCTCGTTGAATTTTACAGCGCATTCTTAAAATATTTTTTTATGTTACGTAATGTTACATTTAGCAGTAACATTATTTTAAATGGTACAAATACTTACATATTCATTATTAATAAACTATACTCCTTGTAAGCATGCGCCATTTCATTCCTTTCCTTTGGTGGTTAGAATGAGAAATAGAACAAAAAGCTCTTAATTTGTAATTCGTTTCTTTTCAATTTTCAGTAACCTAATTCAATAGTGCCATGTTGGCCAAGTGGTTAAGATGCTGAGTTGTTATTGTGTAGGTCCAATTCTCAATCTTAGCAGTGGCTTAAAGCCCACTCAGTCTTAGATAGCTGAGTACCAGCTTGCCTGGGAAACGAAGGCGGTCGTTGCGTAAAGCTGACTAAATTCATTACTCATTACTAATTACATTACTAAATTCATTACTAAATTCATCCTGTGCTGTTTGTGTCCAAATTGGAATGGCTCAATCCTCAATATCTCTCTTGGCTAACTGTTGGTTGTAGTGGGAATATTTCATTATATTTTTTTTAATTAAATAGTGATATTATTATTTTAAAACGAGTCCCCTAAAACGCTCTAAATAGTTTAGATGCAGTTTAAAAAAAGAAAAATATGTCTAATTAAGGTTTTTCCTGTCCTTTCAAAAAATTGATGTTTTATTCCGTGTGGTGCTTTTTGCAACTAAAAATGCTTAGAATAAAAATTAAATTACATTTTCTCTTTCTTAAGAAAACGAAGAAGTTAACAAAACATTAAAAATTGTATAAAATAATTTCGCAGATAATGTATTACATGACCAAAATTTGAAGCGTAAAAAATTTTCTTTCAATATTGCGTTTTGAAATAAAAATACTTTTTACAAACTCTGGACAAGAACATATAGAGATATTTTTAGGTGTGTTTGTATATGAATTAAAATTGAAATATATTTACATGCAGAATAACCAACTGAAAGGACGTACAATAAGTGTCTAATTCATCCTGTATCTCATCCTCCCCACTTTCTTTAATTCCTCCTTTCTATATGAAATTAAATAATAAATTTTTAAAAAAAGCAGCTCTATTTTTCAAAAAAAAAAAAAAAAAAATTCCTATTTTATTAACGTTTTTTTTCTGCTAAAAATTTTCCGTTTATATGTATATATACTTAACTAGATCTACTTATTTGTACTTAAACTAGAAGCATTGCAGCAACAGAAAATTTCAATTACGAATAACGCAGATTTAAATTGATAAAATTCAAATTTAAATTCTTACAGTATAAATTCAAATTTTACACTACAGCCTACAGTTAAATGCCACGCTAATTTTACATGGCTTGCCCGTCTGGCTAAACGGCAAATAACTACGAACTAAATTTGCAAATATTAGACAGATTTTGCTAGTTTTTTAAAAGGTTTAGCGTGACATATCTGAAAAAAGTGGCGAATTATATAAGCCTACGAATTGCTTAGAAATAGTGGAGGATAAAAATCTGCTAAATTGAATTTATTAAACCAAGAATCACAATTAATAAACTACCACTTGAAAATATTTATTCACTGTCCGGAGCAAGTTGGCATCTCTGTGCCTATAAATAATTTGTGCGTCCTTTATTGCATTAATTTCTTCAAACTATTTTAGTAGCGATAATAAGATTAAAAAAAATTTAAAATTTACTCGAATTATGTGTTTCTAATAATCTTGGCTTCGCCGGTCACCGGTGGCCACCTTGCCGTTACAAACAAACTCAGTGCCGGTCACCGGTGACCCCCATGACATTCAACATGTTAACAATACTAGTTTGTAATCTCAATTTAGATTGCTCTCGTTAATGCCTTGTAAAATACGGAATGTTCAGACTTATAACAGAGGAACATTTTTAAATATACTTAGTTTATGAAACAGTAAAATTTAAAAAAAAAAACTAATTTTTTAAATGCTTTATAAATCTATATTTGAAACGGCGTTGACATTTTCTTCATTATATTAAATATATTAAAACTCTTTAATAAAAAGTTAAAATTAACTTTGTATGTTTCGTATTTAGCTTCGTATGTTCGTTTTGTTTTTAAAAAAAATGCTAAAAATTATAATTCTCGAAATCTTAATATCTCTTCCTCATCTACTCATTTCATTAACTTAATTTTCAATATTTCTCTTATGCTTCATGAAATGTGAACAAAAACTAGAAACAAAGGAACAAAACTAGTGAAACATGACAATTTGGAACAAAATAAATCACTCAATCATAAACCGTTTGAGATATTATTATTAATTCATTTCTTTGAAGAAAAAAAAGGTCTAACTTTAAATGATTATTTTACTTTCTTTTTTAAATAATCTTTAAATCTATTCATTGAAAAAATACTTTTATTTTCAATAAAAAAATTCAAATTTTGAAGAGATATTTTTAAATTTTGTTTGTGTGACTTTCATTGGGGTTTTCATGATGTTAAATACTATTCTGAAACAATTTTAGAAAGAAATTTTATTAGAAATGTTTTGCTTTTTTTCCAGGTGCATCAGCGTTCTTTTTTCATCCCTTCCGCAAGCCAAAACGTATTCGAACTGCTTTTTCACCAAATCAACTTCTTCAATTGGAGCACGCGTTCGAAAAGAATCATTACGTTGTTGGAAGCGAGAGGCGAGAACTTGCTCAAAATCTTAACCTCTCTGAAACACAGGTATAATTTGTTTAATTATTTAACGAAAAATTTAAATTTAATATTCTCTAATTATCTGTTATCAAAGACGGAATAGAATTTAATCTTATTTTAAATTGCGAAATTGAAAAATAAAGCAATTTTATTTACTTTTGACTGTGTTTAATGTGTAAGAGATTTGTTTTATATATATATATATATATATATATATATATATATATATATNGGGCTGTACAGTAAATTAATTCGGAAATTTTTACGGTGTATCAGCATTTTTGCAGTAAAAAAAAAATAATTTTCCTAACAAAGCATCGAAATTCAACACTTAACTATTCATAGTAAAAATGACTTATAGAGCCGGAGTAAAGCTTTAGATTTTCAAAATATTATGTGCAACAGTCGGGAAAAAAAAGCAGAGTGCCTTAATAATTTATGATCTGTTGGTTGAATTTTCATTTACTAAAATGCTGGTTCTAGGATCTCAAATCATATCTGCAATTCAATTTGTGAAGGTGGTATTTTGGAAAACGAAAACAGAAGGTAGAAAAACGGTATATATAATGTATAAAAACGTTTAAATATAAATATTTTTTTTGAGCAACAAAATATTAGAAAGGGAGATGTTGTAGTCTGGAAAGTTTAGATCCAATTAAACTAGTCAATCGATCGGAAGTTCGAAATCCTTAATATTAAAATCTCTTTTTGTATGTCTCGCTATAACGCTTGAGATATACAATCATTAAACAACTTATTTTCCACTTAATTGTAAAACTCGCTGAAAAAGTATTCCATGAATAATTTTTATTTTCAATATAATTTATTATTTATTTTAGTAGTAGTCAAAATAGGTTTGCTTACTAGGTAACATTTTTTTTATCCCATTTTAAAGTATATAATTTTAAATGAAAAAATACAAAATTTGAGTGGAAACAACCAAAAAGCTTCTAAGTGAGGAAAATTTCGAAAAATTTGCATTCGTTTTTTAATTTCTAAAGAACTATTCGACCAATTTAGTTCACATTTATGATTTCTCAATTAACACAAGGAGAAAAAAAATTTCTGATAAGATTACTGAACTATATAAAAATAAAATGAATGATATATACATGTGATATAAGCGTTTGCCACAGATTTATTTTGACCTTGCGAACAAATTTGTGCTAAACTTAACGGAGAAAAAAAATCTGGTGAAATTACAGTAGTGTATGGTATTGATTGGTATGGTAATAATATTTCTAGTAAAAAAAATCTATAATTCTGGTTAATAAAACCGAAATATATAGTTTTTAAAGGATTCATTAGGTAATTTCCCCGTTCATATAGTAGCAGTTTAACTGAAATTCTGGTTTTCAAAATCATAGTTCTTATTTACTACACATTTAGTAAAATAAACAAAACTGAAAAGTAAATTTTACCGAATAAATGAATTTTATGCCATGCTCCTCGGTATCATGATTAAACTACCAAATTTACCATATTTTATCATATATTATAAAACCATATTTCATTGTTAATTTTACCGAAATCATTACCAAAGCGCTTTGGTAAAAATTACCAAGTTCTTTCGTGTTATTTTTTCTCAGTGTAGCGACTACGTTTCAAATAATGCAAAACTTTTCAAAACCTTTAAAATTTTTTCAGTTATTTTTTAATTAAATAATAGATAATTTTTAAAAAATATTTTCACATGGAATCATGTTTGGATAAAAAAATATTATAATGTGGACAAAAAAGATTTGATTTGTTGAAATAGTTCCAAATACAATGTGAAATACGTAAAAAAAAAAGAAATAATATTAAGAGGTCTGAACTTTCATCGCTCTTCTTAGATGAACCATATTTTCCACACTGCAGTTACCCCTTTCGAGAGACAGAAGTTCAAATCTTTAAAAAAAAAATTTTTATTCTGAAAAAGTACGTTTTAGTGCTTAATTTCGTTTCTTAAAATCTGTTCACAAATCAATTACAATATTTAAGATTAGCCCCTCGAGCTATTTAGATTGCTTCTTAATACGTGACAAAGCAATCATTAGATCAAAAGTTACTAATGTGTTCCGCTTTGTTTCCCTTTTTTTTAACGTATTTATTTAGGGCACTATTCAAACAATTCCTTATGCTTCCGTTTCAGTTAGAAAAACATATTTCCGACTGAATTTAACACTACAATTTTATAGCGTAACAAACATCTGAAAGTTGTCATTCAAGAACTTAAAAAAAAAAAAATATTGTCACAACTACCAGAATATTATAAAATTTGCCGCGCTTCTGTCTCTATGGGAACATTAAAAACTTTTTCTTTCTAAATGTGGGATAATAAAAACTAACTATAAGTTTAGAAACCAGAACTGCAGGTATACCGTAATCATATGAAAGTAAAAATTACCAGATGAATGGTTTAAATACCATAAATTTTGATTTTCATTGCCGAACTTGTGGGCTCTTATTTTTACCCGAAATTTCATTACCATACAGTACGGTTTTTTATCAAAATTTTTTTCATCGTTAGGGGTTTAGGTGGTTTTGATTTCATCGTGAAAGCATCAATGTACAACTTTTTTTGAATTTCTATAACTTATCTAAATTTTAACTTAGGTTTCTAAATATTTTTTTTCATGAGTTTACCTCTTAACGGATCAATGCCTCCATATAAGAGGCATGACACTATCACTTACTGCTTCTAATGTCGCGTATAGCGGCAAAAATCAATGATTTAGTTTATTACTCTCATTTTTAGCAACATTTATAATTTTTTTATTATAATAATTAATAAATCTATAATTGAAATTATAATTTATTATCCCAATTATACTTGGTGTGTAAAATATTTCTGTACCGTTAAGGGTTAACATAAGCACATACATTATTTAAATGCAAACACTTTTGAGAAACGATGCAAAGAATTTTATAATTTTGCTTAATTTAGAGCTAAATTTAGAAGAAAAAAGGATACTATAACGTCTTGATTGCTTGATAAATGTCATGAAAAGCATGTTAACGACATGAAACCAATTGTAATAGACATTCAAATACGCTCTCTTTAAAACTATACTTGCTCAAAGAAATTAAAAAATAGTATTTTTGAGTTTAAAGGAAAAGTTTTTTTATAGTAAAAAAATAAAAAATACTTTTTATTTCGATAAAAAAAAGTATAAAATATTTAGCAATATTCAAGTGGTAGTATTATTTAAGGCAACATGCTGTACTCAAACCATTTACCGAGCTTTAGCTTAATAGGTTTATTAGAAGTCGAGTAATCTTTCACGTCAAGTGAAAAAATTTGAATTGAGAAAAACAGATTTAAAGGCAAAACTTTGACTAAAAAATTTTAAACAGAATAGTTGAGTTTGCATATGAATCCAGTTTAGAAAATGATTGTGTTATTTTATGTTTTCAGTGAGTGGATTTCAGTATTTTTACTGTAACTTACGAAGTTTTTGAAGCTTGGTGACAAATTGCTTATTTTAAAACAAACCGTAACACAATTTTTTTCTTCAGAAAACGGTAAATTTCGATAGGTAATACCCCTAGACCTGGTAAATAATTTGCATAGTTTATAAACACACAAGAAATATCTTTATAGTTTCTAAAAATTAATTAAAACTATTAAACTATCTATTAAGTAAAACTATTAAAATTCCGCACAGCCTTACGATCTTCCAGACATATGATAAAGTTTCTTTCCATAAATTAAATCCAAAACTTCTATTTAATTAATTTTTTACTACCTATCATTTTACTTTTTAACTCGATAAGTTCATGCAAATTCTATTTTCTTAAAGTTATTTCCATTAAAATTCTCTTTGGTGATAAGATGATAAGAAGTAATAATGTTATATTTTTAAAAAATATATATTCGGAAGATAACATCCAGGTAAGTTTATGAGCTGTTGAATTTGATACGAGCCACGACGTGCTGTAATTAAATTTGATAATATAATGGAGTTGAACCGCTTTTAGTTTAAGTACTGGTATTTAAAAAATTAAGTTCTCGTAGTTTTTTTTTCCTATCTTTTTATTCTTCTGAGAAACTGAAAGTGCAAACCTATTTATATGGAATATTGTTGACTGATTTGCTAACTAATAAAAATAAAATAAAATTTCATCAAGGTGAAAATTTGCATAAAAAAATTTATTTGACAACTAGAAAGTATTTTTAGTGACTTGTAGAAATATAAACATCACAAGTTTATTGGCTAAAAAATATGTGACTCAAAATATTCATAAATATATCCATTTTTGGTGCGTGTTATCTTGCAGATTGGTATTGGTTGCATTTCAATTATCCATGTTATGAGTTTTATTGGGCGTTTTATTGCTACAACACGTAAACTGAGCAATGTGAATGCCTTTTAGTGCATATTTTCATGTGAAAAAAAAAGACCAAAATAGAAAGAGATTACTATCTTTATTGCAAATTTAACTTCAGGAACATCTGCTTTAATTTATGAACATACTTGATAATCGAAAAAAAATTATCTCGTTTTATCACGTATATTTCTGTTTTTATGTAACTCTTCTGTTATGTATAACTCTTAACCATAGAAAAAGAGTTTCTTACAGTAACAAATACTAATGATATTAAATTTGTTACTGTAATAAATACTACTGAGAATGAATATGCTTAATAAAAAATTTAGTAATCACTGAATTTAAAATCTCTGAATTAAAAGGTCTGTTATATTCAAAAAAAATTTTTTTAGAGGAGTTAGAACTCAATATTTCCAATTTATGTTTTTTTGTGATAACAAAAAAGCTTTAATATTATTGGGAGTTGAAACAAAATCTCATTTCTTCAAATTAGATTTAGTTCAGGAAGAGAAAAATTTTCTGGTAAAGTTACCTTACAAAATGGTAGTTTTTTTTTTCTTAAAATTTGTTTATTAAAGACGAATTTCAGGCCATACGATATTCAACTCATTCATTTGATAATTTTTCGGCTCATATGTTAACGGTTTACAGAAATTTCTGGTTTTCAAAATTATAATTCTCACAACCGTACGTTTAGCAAAAAATACAAAACTTAAAAATAAATTTTATCGAATGAATAGTTTTTATACCATGCTCTAAGATATCATGATAAATTACCACAGTTATCAAATTTTATCACATAGTTTAAATCCATATTTAATTGCTAATTTTACCGAAATCATTACCAAAGCGCTTTGGTGAGAATTACCGAGCTTTCCCGTGCATAGAGCCAGAAACACTGTAAATTTTACTATATTTTGGTAATTTTGATAATACTTATTTTTCTCGGTTATCAATTCCTTGTACTAGAAACCTCTGTATTGATTCATGAATTCTTTAAACAATTCTGAAATTTATCCGCAGAGAGTGGATTAAAATATTTTTATTCAAATTTTGCACTTTGTAGGTCCGCAATTTTTAAAAAGCTACAATCACTTATGCTAAAACACATGACAAAAAAACCGCACTACTAAAAGAAAGTATTAAAAATTAATGAATTAAAACTTTATTAGTTTGAATATTATATATTAAAAAATGCAAAATTTATGATAACACTTGATAATTTTGGATTAAGATTAAATAGTTTTATCACATACATTTCTGGTCACTTACATGACTCTTTACTATTGAAAAGCAATTTGTTACAATCATGAATATTAATAAAAATAAGTTTCTTACTGTAATAAATAATATTGAAAATGAAATTGTTCATAAAAATACAGTATTATACTAACATATAACCCTGAAACATTTGTATTGTATACTATTTCTAATCTTTACAAACCAAAATTCCAGATTTTTTTTTACCAGATATATCATTACCATACACTACGGTAATTTCCAGGAAAAATTTTTCTCCTCGAAGTTTAACATAATTTTGTGTGCAAGGTCAAAATAAATCTGAGGCACACGTTTATATCACATGTATATCGGCACATGCATATATCGTTCCTGTTATTATTTTTTTTTTCGCCTTGTGATATCCTGATATGTAACAATCTGTTATAAAAGTCTACATTTAATTTGATTTTTAATGATCAATAAACGAAAAAAGAGTTTCCTCTTACTCGATGGGCATTGTTTCATAATACTAATTCGTTAAAGCACTCATTTTAAGTTATGCCTGCAAGAGTTTACTATATTAAAATCTACAAATTCTCACAAAAGAAGTGGTTGCAAGTTAGCCTTGTACACTGAACCCATTATGATACAAATCTACTACAACTTTAATGCGGTGCAAAGTTGAGCTGTATTATTTTGCATTTAAAACCATCTTAACTGCATGATAGTGAGGTTTAACTTGGACAGAAATATGGCTCAAGCACCCCATTAAGGTTGCAACAAACTTGCACGATATTGGGATAACAATTCAAAATTAAACCAATTTTTCTAAGAATGCTCAAGTTTTTCTACCTATGATTCCACACTTTAGCAATGTGCAATGCACATGTTTTGCTTACGAAATTTTAAGATTTGAATAACTATTTTATTTAAAATGGAATTATATATGACGACGTTTTTATTATTTTATATTTAAAAAACCTTAAATAAAATTAATGTATGTAAACTTATTGCAATCGTGCAACAATAATGCAGTGACTCAAAAGAGTGAATTTTCAGAAAACTGTTCCCAACTGCTATTGGTTTATCATGAAGTCATCGTATTGCAAGTGTCCGACAGGGAAAGTTAAATTACTGAATTTAAAGCAACTTAAGCGATCAATAGAGGTTATTTTAAGGGTTGTTTTAACACCTTTAGAACCGGCAGAAAAAGATAAAACCATACCCTAGGCCTGTACACTACGAGTTTATACACTAAAGACTATGTATAAGTACTAATACGAGATGTAAGACCAGAGTACCGAATTGAGATCACGTCTGCGTGATCTTGGGCCACTAGCGTTAGAAAAGCTCGTTTCATAGATACCAAGTCAAAATTTTTGATGGTTTTCGATTGATGGACCAACATAATCTTGATGTAACCATCAATAATTCCATCATGAACCATTATATTTTTTCATGGTAACCAACGTAAGTAACCATCATCCCAATGTAGGAATTCGGACTGATTTATGATGGTTTAACATAAGAATAACAACTTGTTCTGATATTCCAAATGATTTGTTCATGTAGAACCACCATGAATTTCCATCACAGTTTCTTAGAAATCAAATGTAGAGATCATGAACCACCATCACCCCAATGTAGAAATTCAGATTGATTTATGATGAGCCAACATAAAAAACTCAAACTGTTTTGATGGTATATTCCTGGTGAATCAACAAGAATTTCCATTAAACCATCATAGAAAGATATTGTTGAAACCATCAGGGACCATCACAAATCATCATGAATTGTTAGCCCATGAGAATCAAACTTCTTTTGATGATTAACTATTATAATATTAAAGTAGTATTTTCCATCAGGGAATGATGGAAGCTTGTTGGCATATCAAAAACCATGAACACATAATGGAAAATGCTGGATGATGGTGACCATCAAATGATGTTGAACCATCATAAATCAGTCTGAAACCAACATAAACCATCAAAACTTTTTGATGAGACCATCAAGAATTTTGATCACGTGTATGTGATTTAGGTCCTGAAGAGGTAAATGCAAAAAATAGAAAAATAAAGAAGAACAATAATGAAAGAAAGTAATTTTGGAGCTACGATACTATTGTTGCGAGGGTGCGATATTTTAAAAATTGATTATTACATATTTTTCACCAAATTAAAGTTTGCTTTTATTTTAGGTTAAAGTGTGGTTTCAAAATCGGAGGACAAAACACAAACGACAGAAACAGGATGACCAAAGTTGCGATCTTAAAAATAAAGACTTCTTTGATTCCGCTGATCAGTGTAGTTCCTCTGATGAAGAAGAATCGGTCTCAGAAAAATCTAGTCCTCCCGTTCCAGATAGAACATTATCTACTCCAGAAGAAACTTTTGATTCTTCTTACCTTAAAAGGGAAACTTTATGGAATCCTATGGCATCAAATTCAAATTACATCCGTTCACAGTCACCTCAAACATTCAAATATGATAGTTAACGAAGCGAACTTTATTTTGCTTTTACTGTATTATTTATGCAATTGTATTTTGTATTTTTGTATTTATATTAAATATTTTATTTGTTACCAAAGAGTATGATTTTTTGATTGTTTTTAACTTTTCAGGAAAAAAGAGGTATCACCTTTAAATTATATTTATTTTTGGATATAATTCCAACTTATAAGATCTAAATTTAATATAATTTAAAATTCACTTATTTTCATCAAGAACAATTAATATGAAAGGAAATAATTACATGCATGAGCAATTCGAATTAGCTAACAGATACTTAAAAATCACACTTGAGTTACTTTTTATTTTTAAAAATTTTTATTTTTAGTTGCATTTCAACAATACTTCTTTGTGTCATACAATTAGTTTACAAATAGATTCGCACAAAAATACTTCTATTGACTTCCAACAACATTAAACGGAGGCGATTAAGTTATTTTCATATCTCCACAAAACTAACTTTTTACTTTTATAACTATATTTTTATAAATAATGAATTTGTAGTTATGAATTTAAGCTGTTCTGCAAGCCTTTCCAAGCAATAAAAAAAAATTTTTTTAGCTCATCAAGCACGAGAAATATGCAGCGGGTTTTTATTATTAATTTATATCATCACATGGAATTTAAACAAAATTAAAATTCTAGAAATAGACATTTTATAAGTCAAATGTCATTACCAACAGTGTGGTGAAATTACCACACTGTAAGTAATGGCATTTCTGGTAAAAATAAAACCATTATTTTGGTTAATATGACCAAAATATATGGTATTTAAATCATTTCGTAATCAGTGGCCTTCATTTGGTGATTTTTCCATTTATACAGTAAATGTTTACCCGAAATGCCGGTTTTTAAAATTATAGAACTTACTACAAGACATTTAGTAAAAAATACAAAACTGAAAAGTAAACTTTACCGAATAAATAGTTTTATGTCGTTCTTTTAGATATAATGAGAGAATTACCAAATTTTACCACATTTAACATAATTTATCTCATATTATAAAACTATGTTTTATGATTATTTTTTCCGAAATCATTACTAAAGCTCTTCGATAAAAATCTGAGATTTTTGGTGTTCTCATAGAGCCAGAAACGCAGTAACTCTTACCATATTCTGATAGCTTTAACCATACTTTTTTCTCAGTGTAGAAATAGATAGTGATTTCTATTTGTTTCCCCTCATTTAAAAATTTTTTTACCTTTGAAAAATAGGAGAAATTTTTCCAAAAAAATTTGAGGTTCTTTTGGTACTGTTATCCACTTGAGTGAGTCTAGTTTAGCAAGAGTTGGTTTTTATATGAAAATAAGTCTTCATCAGAATCAGACGAACTTGCAGGTTTGTTTTTTAGTTAGTATTCATGATTATTCTTAAAACTTTTGAGGGATTTCAATACAATTTGACAAAAAATTGAAGAATGTGCGGTTCTTTTATGTAATTGACTAAAAGCATTAGAAACAGCATTACGAGCAAGTATGGAATTTATGTATCATACAGTATGTAGATATAAAATAATGAAAACAATCTGAGAAGGATCTCAGTCTTAGATGTTGTCATTGAATATTTTGTGACGACATGTGTACAAAAGTTACTCCACCAACATTTATTTTTACTTATAAAAATTTAATAATAAGCATAAGCACATTTAATAAAAGCATTATTAAAAAGTAAGTACAAATTGATCAACTACATTTAATATCAGCTGTCGCGCTTAATTTTGGTTCTCATACAGTCATAATCATTTTGGCAATTGCAAAACAGATCTGTGAAGATCATAGCTAATTTTATGAGCATGAGTCCACAATTTGTACAAAGCGAACAGCAATATTGTGACAATAATATAACACAGTTTAATTCCTGGACAATGAAACCATTGTGCACAAATTATCTCCTTTACTAAAAATGTTTACAATACTTTATTGATGCTTGCGAAAAATCAAAAAGAAGATTAACCAGCATTTAAAAGCTAGCAATTTTCGACAATCAACAATCTTGTGACAAGCAGCAATCTTGCGATAAAATGTAACAAGATTCAAGCGCTGGACATTTGAAAACATGAAACGCAAATTATCTTCACTAAAGATAGTAATTTAAAGTTTTTTTTAATTAATAAATTAAATTTCCTTGGTAATAAATTAATTACATTAATCAGACTAATAACTATATGAACGAAAACTTAAGGAGACGTGCATATATAAGTTTTACTATATATTAAGACCTATATAATTTTTTAAAGTTTGATTATTAATTTGCTTATTTGTCTTTATGTTAAAATGTTTCTAAAGAAATAATATTAAAAGCACAATCTTTTCACATTCATATGATTAATTTTTATTTTCATTTCAAAACGTGTACACTTCTTTAAAAGAAAGGAAAATAATAAAGAAGTTTCATTATTTTCATTTCAAAACACATGTACAGTTTTTAAAAGAAACAAAAATAACTCAAATAAAGAAGTTTCATTATATTCTACATGCATTCCAGTCTGAGATATAGAATATTAAACACTGTTTTAATATGATCAATTTCAATTAAAATACCATTAATGTCTCATTGATATCCATAATTTGTTTGCATTGAAAAATTATAAGAAAAGTGCAAAATTCTGAACAAAAAATTCGTCTAAGCGTCATTTAACTCTCGGTCAAGATGGCGATTTTCTAACTTTATAAAATATGCAATACGGTCACCTGCATATTTTATAAAGTGCTATCTATCTAACTATAGTGCCTGCTATCTAACTACAAAATAATGTAGATGGCTCAGCGAAGAAGCCGGTCCAATGATAGCAGACTTTATTTAATTTGTAAACTCTTTTCATATTATTCTGTTAAAACATTGTATAAAAGTTGTTTATAAAATAGAATAATTATTCTCATAGAATTCTAATAGAATCATATTTCTAATAGAATCATATTCCCTCCACCAATTTTTTTTTTTCCTTATGGGACTCAAAATTAAACATATAAATATTGACGAAGAAAAAATTCTGGTAAAATTACCATGTTGTACGGTAATGAGAAAAAAACATATTTCTGGATTAAAAAATCAAAATATACGGTATTTAAACCATTCATTCAGTAAGTTTTCAGATCATACAGTAACGATTTTTCGAAAATTCTGGTTTTTAAATATATAGTTCTTAATTCCACACAGTTAATAAAAAGTATAAAACTGAAAAAAGTGAATTTAAACGAAAAAATGGTTTAGCTATCATGGTCTACGGTATCATAATAAAATTACAAAATTGTACCACATATTATAAACGTTAGAAATAATCACATATTGTTAGTTTTACCAAAAAAATATCACAAATTGTAAGTTTTACCAAAACTAATTAATTCTACGAATTGTTACTTTTTCCAAAGCGCTTCGGAAAAAAAATTACTAGCTTTTTTGGTGCTTCCATAGAACCAGAAAATCGGTACACTTTAATATATTCTGGTAGTTTTAACCATATTTTTTTTCTAAATGTAGAAATTAATTATGCACGGATTACTTAGTGTGAAAAAATTTATTTTCCAACATTTTTAAAATTTAATTTCAATCTTTTTATTTAAGTTTTTCACCATAATGAAAGTCAGCTTCCAAAAATATAAAGCATGGTTGATGAGACTACAAAAAAAGTAGAAATCCTGAGCAATTTCATAAATTGAACTTATCACAGCATTCTGATATGCGGAAACATAAATATTTAAATTAAGAAACTTTAAAGATAGGACATAATATGGAATGCTAACTACAACATATCTTTTATCGTTGTTTAAAAATATCACTTATTTAAATAAGAAAATCAATCTTGTCAACTTATAATCTTACAACTTCTTTCAGTTATTTAGCCAAAACAATTCATTTCTGTGTTAGCGTAGATGATTGAGCTACGCGTCGCTGCTGATGTAGAAAAATAGAGTCGGCAAATTAGACTTCATTTTACGCTTCTGAAGTGCAAATTTTCCAATTATTTCACCTGTTAGCAATTGAAGTTGTGTTATTAAGGTTCTTAAAATATTAGACTCTAACTTATTAAGTTTTATAGCTAGACATCTTGGCACCATTAAATGCTATGCTATTTTTATAAACGCACGTTATGAGGAAAATGTTATTAATAAAAAAATGCTGTTTCTTAAGGAAAAAATGCTTAAATATGTCAAATTTTAAAATAAATTCAGCAATTCAATTTAATTGAATTATTGAACGAGTATTTCATTAAAAAGTTAAGGTTTTAAATAAAAAAAAACAGATGACGCGTGTCTTTAAATATTTTAAATAATAGAAGTACCAAATTTTATAGAAAAAATTTTTCGTTCGATGTTAGTTGATATATTGAAAAAATTAACTTAGATTAACTACGGGGAAGAAGTTGTAAAGAAAAGATAAGCAATTAATCTTGATTCGTGTTCTGATATATTTCACGCTATAGAGGTAATGATAGCGATAGATCTTTTATCCAATCTGTAGTTAGTCTTGATATGTTCTACAAGCAGATAGAGATAAATTTGAATCCACATGTAAAGACTTGAGACTAAAAACTCATAATCCAAGATAAGATTTACTTACAGTTTTAACAGAACGTACAAAAGTGATGTGTCGCAGGTGTTGCTGACTTTGGTCTTGTCTTTTATGTTGCGTAAAGAAATACTAGGTTGCAGAATCTCACATCGACATAATGGAGTTATTCAAAGCTAATAACAAATTAAAACAAATATTGCTAAATGTCTATCTTATATAAGCAGTATTTTATTTTGAAAATTGTTCTGAGTATAAAAAGTTTAAGAAGATTCTTTTCAATATTATATAAAATTTATATTCTAATAATAATTATATAAAATTATATAAATAATAAATTTATATGAAAATTATATTCTTTTCAAAATTATAGTTTTTCCATTAACGTGCTAAAAAGATTGAGTAACAATGCTTTGCATTAAAAAGTGTCCTAAATAGGAAAAGTTTAAAAAGCTCTGTTTTACAATTCTCTGACTCAGTGTTTCCTAAAGTGCGGTACGCGTACCCCCAGGGGTACATGAACAGTTTAGCCGATGCGAAATATCTTGCAA